TGTGGATGCACCTCTCTTGTGCATGCATTTGCATTAGAGCCACTGAGGCACGAATGCTAGATCCAGCCTACGGGGATAGTCTACCTCATCTGTCTTCATCTGCTGTGTAGTAAAAGCGTCTTCACTTAAACAGGAGCTCATTACTCACAATGGCAGCCGTTTGAATCTTTTATCAGAGGGGGATTTCTAATTGAACATTGGCAAATATGCTCCAAACAAATGGTCCTGAGAACAAGCTGAAAGCTGGGTATTTGTGCATGCATGTGTGTGTGATTGAAACATTCATCGTGCATGTTAGTGCAATGTCATAGGCGTCTGGTTCAGAAAACTGCACACATTAGATACCAGCCGGAGGCTGTGTGTCACTCAGAAGAAATCTGTCAGTAAACAAGGTAGTTTATATTGTGCATATCCATACTTTTTTACATACATACATACTTTTTACCCTTTTCGTATTTCATACCCAATCAATTTTTGCATTTTCTTAGTTTTAGAAATATAGGGAAGAAGAGTGGTGGAGTTTTATGTGTTAGTAATCCCTCAGAAAGTGCATTAACACCCACAGTGGTTATTATAACTCCATGATGAATAAGCGTGGAATGAATCATCTCTCAAACATTGATGTCACAGTAAATGTCCTCACTTTTTAGTAGACCTGAGCACAAACATGTCTTGTTTTGCTGGTGTTTGGTTGTTGAATGTCGTGTTTAGTGAAAAGTTTACAAAGCCTAACTTTGTCCTTATCCATTTTACTTTCAACCATAACACTCACAATACATTTAAACAAATCCCAAACGTATAAAAACATTTGAAAAACTCTTCATCGTGAAATCCTCTTTTCTGAGAACATTTGTTTTCCATATCTGTGTCTCTGTGAGGGTTTTAGCCCTTGAAAGGATAGAAACAGTAGACCATATGCACACATTGTGAATGCAGTTGAGCAGGATCATCGGTGGACCAGCTCTGACAGATAAGGGGTCAACGATTTATTCCTGCCAACTGTCACATGCCTGAGGTGAAACACCACAAGGTCACAGATCATGAAAGGGTCAAAGCTTGTTCCTCCTCCTTCTGCTCCTCCTGTTCGCTGAACTTATTGCTCACTGTTTTGTTAAATATTGTTGGCACTCGCGCTGGTAACGAGGTGAATCAGCAGATGTAGCAAAGAGAAGTATCTTCAATTTAAATGGATTTTGATCTATATTCAAAGTCAAACCAAGCTGTGAGCACTGGGCTGGCTTTGATGAAGTGCACGTTGATGAAGCGTGTATTGTGCGCTGTGGGCCTCTGGTGGCTCCTCTGGTGCTTATTTTAGTTTTGTGTAGGGACACATGGTGCCATGCTACCAGAGTGCGTGTGTGTGTGTGCGTGCGTGTGTGACACCGATTAAGCCCTGTTTAATTCTATACCCTAATCTTGGAACCTTCAGCTGCACTTTCACTCCCATCCATAGACGGATGTTCTTCATACACTGATAGAAAGCTCAGTCTGCTGATAAACACAGGATCTGGTAGGTGATGTAACACTTTCATGTATTTTGCTTTACTGTAAGAGCAGTGCAATAGCTGGTTATGCATTAAGTGAATGCACATAAGGCAGATGTGCACTCTCTGCTGGGTTTACCCTGCACTACTGAATGTATTACCTGTGTTATGTCCACATTAAAGTGAGGTCCCAGATATGTGCAGCAGGACTGAACACAGGCTCTCTGATGGGGGAATCCTACTTCTGTCTGCTCATACTGAGAAGGCAGCAGTGATGAGTTCCCTGAATAAAGCTGATAGACTAAACAAGTTTTCTCACTGGAAACTGTGACAGACTTTAGTCATGTATTGGCTCATGTCCTACATTCTCTTCATTATAATTCCAGCTAATGCAGCGTTCAGCCGCCAGATCAGTTCAATGGCTGCTTGATGGAAACATAACATGCAGTTCAGACAGTTCACAATATTAGGTATATTAATATTAATTATTAATATAAAGTAGTTAAGCATTGAGGGAACCTTTTTACAAATGAACAGAGAAGGCAATCTACTGCACATATGCTAATATATTTATCTATATTTTTGAACTGTTCAATTCTATCTATCTATCTATATTTTCATTTTGATGCAGAGTGGATGTAATTATTAATAAAGTAAGGCTGCATTCCAGAAGTTTCAGTACCCTGCTGCTGTGCTGGCTCACCTGGGTCCTTAAATGGTACAGAGACATTTTTTAAGTCATTGGATGCACATGTGCTTTTCCTTTTTTAAAAATTGGATATTTTGTTTTAAAAAGAGCAAATACAGATTTTGGGAGATGAATCATCATATCAGAATAGGGAAAGAACCGTTGTGGGTGATGAGGCACTCTCTCGCCCTCCATTTAAACTGCTCCCATCTTGTTATTGCCCCTGTCTGTTTACAAAAATAGATCGAAAATGTTCTTCAAGCTGTGGACCAAATGTCTACTTCTTTCAATCGAAAACTGCTTAAGTGTTTGTTCTGTCTGTTGATATTTTTGTGAGGCTGGTGTCTGGAAAATGGCCTGTGATTATTGCTGCAAACCAATTTTCCTATAGGGACACAAACAATCTTTTCATCACGACATAGCATTCAGTTATTCACCTCAGTTAAGTGGTTTCTTTATGTAAACCTGCAAAGTTTCTTGAGGTGTTTGGAGCCTGAACAGCAGGTATCAATCAGCTACGTACTGATGCAGCCTTACAAAATGATAGAACACATACTGTGCATGTTGAAACATAATGAGTTGACAAAACAATTACTATGGGAGACAGAATAGACATTTTAGGAAGTTAGCTTTTTGAAATGTTACAGCAGAGGAAGCACATATGTAGCTAGAAGTCCATTTTGGAGTTTTCTTATACACAAACTTATGTTGACATTGGTACCCTGAGGTCCAAGAACACACTGAATGCATTCAAGTGTTCATAAAACATTTGCAAAGCCAATTTTAAATCCTGCATTGTTTACATCCATGTTTACTAGCTTATATTGTTCCCCCCAGCTTTGACTGGTGCACTGACACATTTCTTCAGGTGCACGAAAAACAAAACAAGGACCCATAAAGCAAATCTAATAACAATAATTAGGACTCTGCCATTATGAATGCTGCCCAACTAGCATAGCTTTAAACAGACCCTTACATGGAACAGAGCCACCGTTAAAATCAGAAACGTTTTGTGCTGGGGAAAAAAGTATTTGAACCCAACAACCATATGTGAATAATAAAAAAATGTGCACATCAAGGAAAGGTAAAGCTTGTAGTTGCCAGTTCACGTTTTTAACCACAATCATTGCAATTTTATCAAATAAGGTTTAATTAATTAATGATAATTTTATGTTTAGCCCCGATCTGACACACAATGGTAAACATGACATTTGATAAACATCAGCTTGTTACCGTAGACATTGTGAGCATGTTAGCAAGCTTAGTGTATTGGGGGCACTTGGAGGATCTACACTTTCAAGGTCCTTCTCTGGACACCAATCAATTACGCAAGTTCTTACTGATAAGAGACAGAGACGTGTGTCTTCATCAAAGAAAATGTTATTGAAACAACTCAAAATAATATAATAGGGTCTGGAACTGAAAGGGAGAAACAAAAATTAGTAGGCAAAAATATTACAGCTGCAAACAGGATACAAATGTTACTTTATTACTATTCTTGTCTATTACTAAAACTACATCTTCACAACGAATCTCTTAAAACTATAAAAGTCAGCCCTGCAAAACAAAGGAAAGGATGAGGATGTGAGCTGAGGCCACGTGTGGAGAGGCAGTCTAATCCAAGGACTGCCCAGAGGTGCAACCAGTTACTCACCAGTTACTCACCTCAGGTGCATCACAGCAAAGCACAGCAACAGTGGTGCACACAAAACTCGTGTCCCAGTGCTCTCACTCACGTGCGTTACGTGGGGACCTCACCGGAGTGCCTAGCCTCCCAGCAGTGTGGCACTCAGTTGCACTGAAACAAAACTCATATAGAAATTAAGAATAGAACTACAAACAATATAACTATAAATGGTGTCACCCAGTTGGTCAGATCAACAATACAATTCAAATGAACTAAACAATAAAGTAAATGCTGGAATAAAAACAATATTGACCAAAACAAAACAGCAGCAAGTGAACCTAAGACAAAGAGAACAATAAATAATTATGCTTAACATGCTGTATGACAACATATTCAATATGGGGGCCACCACAACTCACCACCTCCAGTATGGTGCCTTAGCCTGTGTCTCTCACAGCCAGGACAACAGGGCACATGCAGGCTGTAATAGAGGCAGTAAATTTAATGTGTAAGCCACAGAAAAGGAACCTGGCAGGGTAGAGAGTCACTTCAGCCACATCCCTGTATAACCAGCAGCCACAACCACGGCAGGACAACAGCAGAGAGAAAGACAGATGCTCACAGGTGCCTTATGTAGCCTGGCTGATTAGAGGACAAGTCAAGGCTGGGGCTGCGTTCAGCGCTGCTGGACACTATGTTCACCCACAGTGAGGACTCTTCCCCACCACATAATGTAAGAATTTAAGTTGAATCATCTGTGTCCTTATGTACAATCTCACAGAGCCTCTAGTTTGGCAGTTAGTTGGTTTGTGTGAGTTTTACCAATTAAAAATTCTAACTGGGTCAGTAGAGTAAAGAGTAAAAGCTTTTAAACAAACTCTAGTTTGATCTTTTTCATCACATTATTTCTTTTGGACCACACCCTACATGCTCATCATCTGTACGTTACAATCAGTCCAGCCTCCTGTCTGTTTTCCTGCAACAAACACATTTTGTAATATTTATTATCTCTGGAAATCTCTCTCCATGTCTCTGTTGCACGCGAACAAACACTGGATCGCACACACATACACACCTAAATACTGCTGAATAATGAAATGCTCCTGCACCCTCTCTCTCTCTTTCTCTGTCTAGTTCTCTCGGGAAGCTTCTGTTCCTGACAAACCATAGCAGCCGTTCTCTGCTTTTTCTCTCTCCCCAGGAGACTGAGATCAGCACCAGAAGGAAGGAGTGTGAAGCACTTGAAGCAGAGGTGAAGAAGAAAAATCAAACATGTCAGACTTTGGTAAGTGCTCCAAAAATATACAACACCTTGGCCTCTGAGTGAAAGGACAGAGGCTAAAATTGATTTGTACCTGAGAGCCTCGCCTGCTATCATCACATACAAATGTCCCCTGAGAAAATGAGTGGCGGGCCACTGTAATGAAAGCTCGGTGCAGGCGTTGATGACTGAAATTGAAAAATGGGACCAGTTTTACTGCAAGTTGCAGTGTCTGTGGGTTTTGTTTTGTTTGCTTTAGAAATACGTTTGAGAATGAGAGATAGACTTCGGTGCAGTAATTATATTCTCTGTGTGATCATGCACCAAAACAGGAAATACAGAATACGGTGTTGTGATTTATGAACAAATATGTGCATCACTAGTGGTGTCTTTAGACTGACTACATTAGTTTCTTTTGTATGCACATTATAGTGCATGGAGCTATTATTACGTCAGCACACAGGATTGTGTGTGTTTTTTAAGCCATTGGATCAGAGGCATTGTTTTTGAGTTGTCCGACCCTCCATCTGATTGTCACATTCCAATCAACACAATATCTCAGGAACACCTTGAGAGGATTTCTTCAAATTTGGCACAAACGTCTACTTGGACTCAATAATGAACTGATTAGATTTCAGTGATCAAAGGTCAAGGTCACGATGACTCATGTCATCTCAATTCATGTTAATAAGTTATCTAACAAATGCCGGAAGGAAACAAATATGGCACAAATATCAATTTAGACTCAAGGATGAGATCATTAGAATATGCTGGTCAAAGGTCAAGGTCACCAAACACAATGTTGGTCATAACTCAAAAATGATTGTGCTAATTATTAAACAATTGAACCCAAATATTTGATAGAATAACAAGATAAAGTGACAATATTTGTATATTTAAAAGGTCAGAGATATGCTACAATAGTCTTTTATTTGCATATGGTTTTTGGTTAAAAAAACCAAACAACTGCTGATAAGGAAATAACCATGTTTTGCATGTGTCATCTTGACAATGAAGGCAATGGATATTTTAGATAAATAAAGTGGTGTGTTTCTGTTGATGGTGGCAATGGTTCAGTGGTTAGCAATAATGATGTTGTTGTGTTGTTGTAATTATCATAACTGTAGAAAAACAGACTAAGAACCTTAATGAGTCTTTTTACCAGTGGTGGTGCTGTTGAAGTGTTTTGATGTGTTGATTCCCTGTTTGTTTGTATGTTTCCCTGAAGCATAAAAAACCATAAAATCCAAAATCAAAATACGCCACAGCAAAAAACGAAAAGAAGACTTAAAAACGAAACCAAATGCTGCATGGCTGATGTATGAATGGCTTGAACAAGCTGAAATGAAGCTATTTCATCATTTCAATGATTTAGGCCCAATCCCATTTAAAACCTTCTCCCTAACCCTACCCCTTGTTTTCAAGGGTTATCTTGTTGCTTGAAACTGAGTAATAAGGGGTCATGGTTGAAATATTCCCAGACGAATTGGGACAGCACTTCAACAAGCTGTTACATCATCAGTTGTCGTCATGGGAATCTGAAAGGTCATCAATAGTCGTTGATGTACATTCACGCGTCAAAACGTTTTGCCGGGGATGTCATTGTAATAACATTGTTGAGATCTTAAATAAACCAATGCTCTTGCCTGCAGTTACTAAAGTGCCAACCCTATAATATCCAAATAACATTCCTGTTAATGAAGGTGAATCAAATTACCAGGTAAATGCTCAGGACATGTTTTCCTACTTTCCCTCCGTACTATGACAATAATGGATGAAAGCTTATTGTTATTTATTAATCCTTATTAATGGAGAAAATACTACATTGTGGGTCTCTCTCACATCTTGCTGGTGATTCACAAGGCATTCTGGGACATTTCTTAGCCCTAGGTTTAAGGTGTGGGTCTGAAAAATCTCAGTTTTGAAGGCTGTACAGCCCAAACACTTGGCCCTTCCCCTTCATTCCAACTTGTATCAGGACACCCTACCCCACTGCTAACGCACAAAACAGAGGGGTCGGGAGAAGGGGTGACATGGGATTGAAATTCCCATGGCCATCAGTTACAAGTATTTTCTACTGGTTTGGGAGGTGAACCAGATTTCCAACTTGGGCCACTGTGGCTGTGCTAACATTTGTATTAATAAGAGTGAGTATGACCTGTCTGAAATTCAGTGTTTATTGTGTGGTGATGCTGCTGAGGGGCAAATTTGCAGTTGCAGTCAGGTTAAATGCTGAGTACACTGACATATCCTCTGAGCAGCAGAGGAAATAACTCTGTTATGCTGTTATATTTTAGTTGGGGAAACACTGTGTTATCAGACTCTACCAGTCTGTCACAGCAGGAAGTCGTCATAGTTGCTTATCACTGTATGAATAATCCTTAAGTAAATGATTCTGGTCTGAGTAAAAGTTTTAACATCACAGTTACGGGAGCCACACTAAGCAGAATAACTCATCACTTTATATTACAGTGCACTGTAATAGCGCTCTGACAGTTTATTCTGGGTGAGAAAGGCTGCTTACTGATGATACCAGCAGTCAATGTTGAGATGTTCCTGTAGTCGAGCGGTTCGTCAGTTAGCATGACACAAGGAAGAACCTGTTAAATTTTGAAGTGATCTGGATAAACGGGTGGATCCTGGAGTTCTTCTTTAACAAAGGAGATAAGATGTTAGCCTGCGTGGAGGTTTGCACTCTCCCAGCACCCTTCCAGCTATAGCTGAATTTACTAACATTTTTGAGAAAGAGTAACTGTACATATTTGTTTATCTACAGTAATTCTTTCGGTTACTGGAAAAAACAATACAAGCAGTTGTATAGCTGATGTAGAAGTTGCTTAATGAAAGTTCAGCACTGCATAAAAATAACACATGTTTGTAACCTGTGATGCAGAAGTAGGCACAGAGTAGTTCATGCATTCCTATGATTTTCTTTCTGAAAGGCAGAAGCTGTAGGGACTCAGCAGTAATTTGAGTGGCGCTGTTTGGTCATAGACCGTTTGAATTCATTCCCCCATGCCCCTAAGACGTCCTCTTCAGATGAGCTGCCCCAAATTTACACTCCATTAGGACTGTTTACTGCTCTTCTCTCACATTCCCTGCCCACAGCAGCCCTCCCCTCCTCACCCATTGTGAGCCTGCTGAGTCCAAGGGACGCGACCCAAAGGACAAACTGTCCCCAAACTGCGAGCAGAAATGGGAGGATGGTCTCCACAGAGTGCAGTTCTTATCTCCTCTGCCCTGAGTTCTAAGAACAGGGACACAAACACAGACAAGACCAATGAAGGGGATGGCGAGTTTACAGTAATGTCACTCCCTGTTTGGTCCAAACTGTCTCACCTCTCTCTCTCCTTCTCAATTCTCTCCTTCTCAAAAGAGTGCACATTCTACATACATAATTAGCTGCAGCTGTTAGCAGCTCAGTGTAGTCTCTCTGCGGGTGGATTTTTAATAGTCACCTTACCAAACACTGACATCTACTCTTTATACAGGGAAATGAATAGATTTTTCTGAAATTCCCACTGGTATTAATGCCACGTCGCCTCAGTTCAGCTGTCTTGTATATCATCATGTAGTCTGACAGTGGGTGTGACAGTAAACACTGGCATAGCCATCTGGCACCTCCACCTTCCTGAATGTCAGGTGTATAAAATTAGCAGAGAAAGCCCCCACAAGTATTTAAGGCATGTTACCATGGTGACAAGCACAAGTTGTGCCGTTGTCACTCAAATATGTAACAGTGCTAATCGAACATCAATACTGAGGCAGACAGGAGGCAGACTCAATAAGTCCAAGGACTAGACGGAGGAGCTGTGCTCTCAAATATAGCTGAATAACCGTAGTGAAATGTCTGCCTCTGTGGTCGGCTCTGCTTTCATTTTGTGCTGTTTGTAAACACAAACACCTTCTGTTGAAGGCGTGATTGGCAGCTCTTGTTGTTTAGACAACATGGCGTGCATTAAATGTGCATAAAGCAGAAACTGTCAGGAATCCATTTCAGGATAGACTCCCATGTATTTATTTATTTTTTCCATTTCACACAATGCAGTAAATTCAGACGTGTAGTTGTAAATGCTCCCTGGCTTTGCGCTTACTGATAAACCACAGAGAGCAGTGCTCAAGAAGAATTCTGGTCTGTGATGTTAAATGTGTGCATGACCACAAACCCTGTGTCGGAGATACTGTATGTATATTTACATTATACACTACAGCAGAAGTCATTACAATTCAGCTGTACAGTTGAATATTGTTGAGTGACGTTTTAGGCTATCTAGGGTGGCACAGTGGTGCAGTAGTTAGTGGAGTTTGCATGTTGTCTGGGCTCTGTCTGTGTTCTCTGGCTTCCTCCCACAGTCCAAAAACATGCAGATTGAGGTTAGGTTAACTGGAGACTTGAAATTGACTGTGTGTGTGAGTGTGGATGGTTTTTCATCTGAATGTTGTATTTGTGATAAAATGGCGACCTGTCCAGGGTCGGGGTGGGAATCTCTAGGCACCTCACAATTTGATTGCTATTTAGTGGGCTACGATTTAATGATAAAACTATTGTCAAAACATCAAAGAATTTTATTTCTGTACATGATTTATGTTTTTATCACTGTGTGACTACTAGAGGTGTGAATCTTCATGATTTGTGCTTTAATAAAGTATTGTAAGTTTTACTGTTATTACAAGTGTGCTGTAATTTACAAAATAAGGTTTTCAATTCAAAAATCAGACTACAACAGCCTGTCTATAACAGTGGTCAGTGCTCTCCACACTGATTTGACATTCATTCAGTTTAGACTTGTGCGCTGCATCTCTAACTGTATCAGGGTGCCTGGCCCCCCTTGGCGCATTACTCCACCAGTCAAGAGATCTGCTCATCTCCTCTTTTCTAATCACTTACACTTAGAGCTGATCTTTATAAAAACCTGCTGAATTGATATTTATCTTCCTGGATAAATGGGATGTTGCTTCACTCTGCAAAAATGAATTAAAAAACAACTCTGCATTGTGTGATAATCTGCGGGAACTTCTGTCCT